CAGGCATGGTGGCGGGCGCCTGTAATCCCAGCTACTCGGGAAGATGAGGCAGGAGAATCGCTTGAACCTGGGAGGCGGAGGTTGTGGTGAGCCAAGATTGCACCATTACACTCCAGCCTGGACGACGAGCAAAACTCCATCTCAAAAAACAACAATAACAACAACAACAACAAAAACGAAAAGACAAGAATAAAGAGAAATACAGAAAGCATTTATTTAACAACCACTGCCCCTAATGGGTTATTCTGGAAGCCTCTTCAAGAGACTGTTTCCACATAACTGGCCTGGAATAAAGATGGAGTCATACAACTTAGGTAATACCATTCTGGACATGGGAATGGGCAAAGATTTCATGACAAAGACACCAAAAGCAATCATAACAAAAGCAAAAATTGACGAGTGGAATCTAATTAAACTTAAGAGCATCTATACAGCAAAAAACTAAAAAATAACTTTCGACAGAGTAAACAGCCTACAGAATGGAAGAAAATATCTGCAAACTATGCATATGACAAAGGTCTAATATCCAGCATCTACAAGGAACTTAAACAAATTTATAAGATATAAACAAGCAACCCCATTAAAAAGTAGGCAAAGGACATAAATAGTTTTCAAAAGAAGACATACATGTGGCCAAACAAGCATATGAAAAAAAAGCTCAGTATCAGTGATCACTAGACAAATGCAAATCAAAACCATTATAAGATACCATCTCACACCAGTCAGAATGGCTATTACTAAAAAGTCAGAAAATTACAGATGCTAGTGAGATTGCAGAGAAAAGGGAACACGTATATACTGTTGGTGGGAGTATAAATTAGTTCAACCATTGTGAAAAGCCGTATGATGATTCCTCAGACAGTTAAAAGCAGAATTACCATTTCACCCAGCAATCCCGTTACTGAATATATACCCAGAGGAATATAAATCATTCTACCATAAAAACACATGTGCATGAATGTGCATTGCAGCACTATTCAGAATAGCAAAGACAATGAATCAACCTAAATGCCCATCAATGACAGATTGGATGAAGAAAATGTTGCATATGTACACCATGGAATCCTATGCAGCCATAAAAAGAACAACATCATGTCTAATGTGGGAACATGGATGGAGCTGGAGGCTATCATCCTAAGCAAACCAACACAGGAACAGAAAACCAAATACCTCATGTTCTCACTTATAAGTGGAAGCTAATGATGAGAACTCGTGAACACAAAGGGAACAACAGACACTGGGGTCTACTTGAGGGTGGAGAGTTGAGGGAAGGCGAGGAGCAGAAAAAAATAACTATAGGGTACTAGGCTTAATACCTGGATGATGAAATAGTCTGTACAGCAAACCCCTGTGACGCTAGTTTGCCTACATAACAAAGCTTCACATGTATCCTGGAACCTAAAATAAAAGTTCAAAATAAAAAGATGGGGTCATAGGCACTTACGCCAAATGAGTAACATGATAGTTAAGCCAGGCCTTGGAGTCAGATGGACTGACACTTGAATTCAGCTTCTGTGACCAAGCAGTATGATTTGGAGCAAGTTCCTTAACTTTTCTCAGTACCACTTTCTACATCTGTACATTAGGAATAATGATACCTATCCCAGAGAGTTGTTTCAAGGATTAAATGAGTTTAAAGCACTTTGAACAAAGTATGTAATTAATGGCAGTTCCTAACAAAAATTTAATGCATTTTAAAATTGAAATATAATTTGCATGCAGTGAAATGCTTAATATGTGTATCATTTAATCAGCTTTGATGATGCATATCAAGACACAGAACATTTTCATCACCCTAGAAATTTCCCTCATGAACATTTCCCAGGCAATACCTCACCAGAAGCAAGCATTGAGCCGATTTCTGTCATCATAGATTAGTTCTGACTATTCTCTACTTTCATATACATAAAATTATACAAGTTTTTTTCTGGTGTTAGACCTACACCATACTACTTTTGAGATTTGTCCATGTTAGTATGTGTGACAGTCTTTTTATTGTTGAATAGTATTCTACTATATTATTCCATTTTCACATTGGCTATAAAGAACTACCTGAGACTGGATAATTTATAAAGAAAAGAGGTTTAATTGACTCACAGTTCTGGAAACTTACAATCATGGCAGAAGGCAAAGGAGAAACAAGGCATGTCTTACATGGTGGCAGGAGAGAGAGAGAGAGCGAGCGGGGAACTGCCAAACACTTTTAAACCATCAGAGCTTATGAAAACTCACTCACTACCAGGAGAACAGCATGATCCAAACACCTTCCAGCCAGGTCCCTACCTTGACACGTGGGAATTACAATTAGAGATGAGATTTGGATGGGGACACAGAGCCAAACCATATTATCTACTTTATGAATATGTAAGAGTTTATCCATTTTTTTTTTTTTGGTTAGACATCTGAGTTGTTTTCAGGATTGAATTATTATAATTAAAGTTATTAAGAAAACTTGTGCACAAATGTTTTCAATCCTCTTCGATAAATACCTAGGAATGGAATTTCTAGGTCTTAAAGTAGATAATTGGACAACTTTATAAGAAACTGCCAAATTGGTTTTCAAAGTGATAGGAACATTATATAATTCTACCAGTAATGTATGAGAACTGTGGTTACTTCACATCCTTTTAACTTTTGATGCTCTCATTCTTTTTATTTTTAGCCATTCTGATAAGTGTGTAGAACTATCTCATTGTGGTTTTAATTTGCATTTGAAAACAAATGCAAATTAAGCACCACTGCTTATCTTTATTGGTTATTTTATCTAGTTTTATGAAGTGCATGCTCATATATATGTTAAATGTATGTATTACAAATATTTTCTCCTGGTCTGTGGTCCATCTCTTTATTTTCTTGGTGGTATTTTTTGATGAGTAGATGCTTTTAATTTTCATGAAGTTTAAAGTATTTATTTCTTCTTACGGTTTGTGCTTTTGTGTCTTTTCTAAGAAATCTTTTCCTCCTGAAGTTATAAAGATATTCTAGCTTTTGTTCCAGGAGATCTCTAGTGAGGTTTTTTTTTGCTTTTTTTTTTTTTTTTTTAAATTTATGTTTCAATCTGTGCTCTGACTCAAACTGATTTTTGTGTATGGTATAAGGTAGAGGTTAAGCTTCTTTATTTTTACAGAAATATCCAGCTGTTTTGTACTATTTGTTGAAGCAATTTTTCCTATCTCTTCTGAATTAATGTTGTGCTCTTGTTAAGAGCCAGTTGAATATATATATGTCTACCTATTTCAGAACTCTCTATTCTGTTTTATTATTTATTTTTATTTTTATAGGGACAGAGTCTCACTATGTCACCCAGTCTGCAGTGCAGTGGCACAGTCATATCTCACTATAACCTCAAATTCCTGGACGCAAGCAATCTAGGACTATAGGTACGTGCTATGATGCCTGGCTAATTTCTTTCTTTGCTTTTTTTTTTCTTTTTTATTTTATTTTATTTTATTTTATTGTAGAAACAGGGTCTTGCTATGTTGTCCAGGCTGGTCTTGAACTCCTGACCTCATGCAATCTTCTTCTCTTGTCCTCTCAAAGCAATAGGATTACAGGCATGAGCCTTGATGTCTGGCTTACTCTATTTTATGGACTCACTTATTTATAATGACAGCTATTTTAAGTTTAGTTTTTAAATTAATTTTATATCTATTTTTTCCATTTTGTAGATTTCAAATGCAGTCATTAAAACCTCAGAAACTTTGCTTATGATTTTTTGAAAAAGTTTTTTCCCTTTTGATGTCATATGCACATGTATTTATGTATGTGTTCAGTATGTATACATACAAATACACACATACACACACACTAAGGCATATAGGTCATTAATATTCTTAGATTGTCCTAGTTTTTAGACATCAAATTTTTGTAAGCTCCCTTATTTTTCAGAGATCAGGTGAGCAGCGGTTTTTAAATTTTAGCAAAGCATACGAATTATGTAGATGGCTTATTAAATAAAAACAGATTTCTGGACCTTACTCCAAGAAATTTTGACTTAGTAAAGTCAAATAGTAAGTCTGGGAAAGGGTCAAAGAATTTGCATGCCTAACAAGCTCAGATGATGCTGATGCTGCTGGCTTATGAAACACACTTTAAACAGCATAGGCTTAGAAAAATTAGATGGCCTTTCTAACGTTCATACAGGAGCTTTATTGGAACTTTGATTGGCCTTTTCTAAAGGCTAGTTTCATAGCCACTAATTTATAGTGTCTTCACTTGAAAAGACATCTGAAAAATCTATTCCATGCACCACAGCATAAGAGCCAGAAAGCATCAGACAGATTGATAGTACCAACACTGCCTCATTTCCTTCTTCCTTCCTGGAAACTGGGTTTTGGTCTATGAACAGAGACAGGCACATTCTTATATATACTACAGCTGAATAGAGCCCTGTGATGAACATGCACAGCAAAACAGGCATTCTTCTCCTTGCATCCTCTGTCAACAATCAGAGAGAGCTTTATTTTCCCCTTAATGGTTGATTGGTCTCTAAACCAGAAACATTTTTATAGCCAAGTCCTTTAAAACTTTTCTAAATGTATGTTGTAAGTAGCTGGCATCTAAGTGAACATTCTTGACAGAAGAGACACTCTGAATTAAAGTTCGATACTCTCAAAGCCAAAAAACCTCAGTAATCAAAATCCCAACCCAAACCCCTAAGCTTCTCTAGATTTTTGAGGACAAGCAGAGAACATTTTAGTTTTCCTTTCCAATAGATCAAGAATATGTGGAAAGGCTGGGCATGGTGGCTCACACCTGTAATCCCAGTACTTTGGGAGGCCGAGGAGGTAGGATCACTTGAGGTCAGGAGTTCGAGACCAGCCTGGACAACATGGCGAAGCCCCATTTCTACTAAAAATACAAACATATTAGCCAGGTGTGGTGGTGGGCGCCTGCAATCCCAGCTACTTTGGAGGCTGAGGCAGGAGAATCACTTTTGTACTTGGGAGGTGGAGGTTGTAGTGAGCTGAGATTGTGCCATTGCACTCCAGCCTGGACAACAGAGTGAGATTCCAACTCCGAAAAAAAAGTAATAATAAAAAAAATGAGTAAGTGGGAAGAAATAACTGTACCACAACTATACATCAATTATGTAGGATGTTTATACTTGTACAAGGACTCAATAAAGGTACACTGTGTTGTATTTTTCTTTTATGAATGGTTAATTACCTATTTGGCCCTTAAAACCATGTTAATAAAAAATGAATTCTTACTAAGTATTTATACTTAAACTTCCTTAAAGATGCCAAAAAGAGAAAAATAATTTATCTTGTTTATAAAAAAAAGAAACAGTTATTCTGCCTAGAGAAGGAGGAGTGTTTGTTTGACATGCTTTCTAGCACTTCTGCAAGCAATGTGAACATCACAGCTCAATCATTTATTCACTGGCATTTGGGAATACTAGATAGAAAGTGCTTTATCCTCAAAGGAAGGCCCATTCATGACTAGCTAAGAGCACACACCACACTTACTCTAGCAGTGAGAAATTCAGAAATAAAATGACAGCAGGCCTGTGGCCATAACTAAAGTGATATTCAACAGCTCCACACTTCTACCTTGCACGCGCATGACATATGACCTATGGTGCCAAGAGAAGGGAGCCAATGCTACACCTCACCTACATTGGTCTCCCGGTTCCCAGAAGCCTTTGGGTTATGAAGGATTATTTTTCTTTCTTTTTTGAAAGAGATTAAAAGGGCATCAAATGAGTTACCAATGGAATTTTCAGAGACATCCTACAACTTCTCTTGAATATGCCATGTGGTTCTAAGCTGTAAAATCATCTTTTCCCCAGTGCTTTTAACTAGTAGTGAATGCAATCCTACTACTCTCTACAGTAGATGAGCACAGAGACTTAAATTCTACCAAGTCTGGGAATGAGTCTGGCCCCTGACCCTTTCTTGCTACACAGCCTTAGAAAACCTTTTTACTTATCTCCCCTTTGGTTTCCCAGAACAGAAATCTCTATTCCAGATGGTTGTTATGAGCTGTGCTTATAATATTTTTTTTCAAAGCTCATAGCACAATGCCTGACTCACAATACACACTCCACAAATGGTGGTTCTAAGCATTCTATCTCTCCCCTCACTCCATCTGTCCCTCCCTCCCCGACACACTCTCTCTATATATATATACACATATATGCATATACACATGCGCATGCACACACACACACACACAGAGATACCATTCAATAAATTACATATATTTATCATACAGGTTTTTGTATGTGTATAAGGATGTATTTATATGCATGCAAATGCATACTTTGTTGATGAGTGTCTAATTACCATTACTGTGATAATTATCATTTGAACTAGAAAAAAATAATTGAGACCTTTTGACTTCAACTTAGAGTCTGCTCCAGCATGGGTATATATCCAAAATAAATACAAAGACAGCTCCCCTAAAGACCTTAAGGAATAACAAAATTTTGTCAAAGTCTCCTGTGGACACTGTAAATACGAATAAATAGTGTATTACACAGCACCACTTCTTTACTCATCTCTTTACCTGAAGTCTTTTATCACATAAGTATCTACCCTCATTTCTCTTTTCTTTCTAGCTGAGACACCTGCACAAACCTGTCTGCATGCTTTGTCTTTGCCCTCTGACCACCCTTTTTATTATAGAGTCAATGCAGGCTTCCTTCAGTTTCTACCATTGTATCTTTACCTGTGGTAACACTTCCCATAAGTGGTGGGGTCTTTTCAAGATAGAAAAGATCTTTCCTTTAAGAGACAAAGTAAAGAGGAAAAGAAGGTTAGGGAAAGGGGGAGGAGAAAGGCTGTGAATATAGATAAGTATCTTTAAATGTATCACATTTGTCTTAGAAAATAATAAAGTCACAAACCCATACCTTAGCAGTCCTAATCTTCTTGAATCATAGACATAAATTACAGGGCAACATTGGGATTAAGAAAATCCCCTCAGGCCACCACAAAAGGGACAGTTGTCTCAGCCTTCACACAGGTTCCAGTATAGCCTTCTCCAAATCCCTGAGGATGGAGGTTTCTTCCAAGTCTACAAAATCACCAGAGAAAGACAATGTCCATAAAGAAAAACAAAAGCAAAAACAAGACAGAGTGATATTAAATTAAAGGCCATTTGGTTTGGAGAGACTAAACAAAAGATATTTTAAATTCTCTTTGTCATAAAATTGCATAATGCCTGAATGGATTCAGTCCTGACTGAATTAAAGAATCATACAAAAAGAAAATTCATAGTGTATCAAGGCTAGAAGGTATTTTAGGACTTATCAAATCAAATTTGCTCATTTAACTTACAGGGAAACTGAGGATGGGAGAGCAAAAGTGATTTTCCATGATGATTCATTATCTGTGGCACAGTTCAATCTGTGTGTCAAGCAAATCTTTAGTATACGAAAACAATGTGTTTAACACTGGTCTATCATAAAAGTAAGACCAGGCACCAGTGCATCACTCCACCTTGAAATACCTCCCTCACTTGACTTCTAAGGTACCAATCTTACCGCTACCACTGGCCACTCCATCTTGACTACCTCTGTTGCATCTTTTCATCCTCCCAGTTTCCAACATAAGGAGATCTTAGGGTTCAGTCCTGAGCCTCTTCTCTATACACACTTTCTCACCAGGTACATCTTCCAGGTCCACAGCTTGAGATACCAGTTATACTCTGAAAACTCTGAGATTTGTCTCCAGGCCCAGATATTTCCCTGAACTCTAAACTCAATCAACTGACTCTTCAACAACTCTACTTGGGATTCCAATAGGCATATCAGATATAACATGACCCAACTGAGGTCATGACTTCACCACCACCACCACCAGCTCCCACCTGGAAAATACTAAAGCCCTCCTTCTTCTAAGTGTATACCTTCTCAGTCAATGGCAATTTTATTCACCCAGTTGGTCAGGCCTAAACCCTCCAAGTAAACCTTGATGCCTGTCTTGCCTATCTACCTCACATTGTCCATTTCATCAGCACATTCTGGTGGCGCTATCTTCAGAATAAATACAGCAGCTGACCATTTTTTACCACATCTTTTACTACCATGCTGGCGCAAGACATCATTAAATATCTGCAAGGTTGCACAGCAGGCTTTCCCAAACTAGGGCTGGTATTCTCCACCAGGCCCATGTAAGAGAATGACACTCCCCTGCTCAAAACCTTCCACCTCACTCAGACTCAAAGTTAAAGTTGTTACAATGGCCAAAAAGATCCTGCTTGATGTTTGATGCATCTTTCTTACCACCATCCTCATCATCTACCCTTCTCCCTCTCATTTCTTCCTCTCTAGCCATGCTGCTCCTCTAACACACCCCTGACTCTATCAGGAGCCTTTGAACTCATCATTCCCTCTACCTGGGAAACTTTTCTCCTCACTGTTTCATGTCTTTGCCCAAATGTTACCTTTCCAGTGAGGACCCTTGTAAAATTACCCTGCTTAAAATTATAAACTCATACCACATATCTCATCCCTTTTTCTCTAGATGTAAAAGTCTTTTTGATGTATTACATGTCTATCTGTTTATTATCTCTCATCCCCCAATAAAATGTAAACTCCATGCATGCAAGAAATTCTATCTCTGGCATCCTGCTGTGTCTCTAGCACCTCACTTCACTGATAACCTTGCACGAAGGTGGAGCTCAATAAATATTCATTGAATGAATGAATAAGCAGACAGTAAGGTTAAGTAAACCTTCTCATGGTCACTCAGTTGATAAGTGGCTGAGCCTGGTTTGAACCAAAAGCATTCCATCTCCTGTATTTTTGACAACTATGAAATACTGACTAGATGAATGTCTTCTAGTGTTGGGTTTAGGAAAAGGATTGGTATAGTCTGTAGTGTGATGCAAAAGATGAATGTTAGGTATATTTGTGAAGTTAGCAAACAAAAGCCCCAAAACTATTTCTAGGAGATACTCTAAAGAGTATGTGTGGCATGTATTGGGATGACTCTGCTTACAGGCTAATACTGAAATCTCATTGTTACTTTCATCATGTCTTTTTCAGATTTTCTGCCTTTGCTTCCATGCCATTATTTCCTGTCATTCCCTCAACTCTCAGTCCCTGCTTTACTATAATAAAAAGTATGAAGTAAAGGAATCCAGGGTTAGATAACAAAAAGGGGAAATGATGTGTTTAGGGAAAAGGTATTGGGCAGTCATCAAAGGACTTTAGATCTAAACCTAATTTGGTCACCAATTTGTCATTTGCCTTTAGGGTTGTCCCTTCCTCTCCCTGGGGTACCCCTCATTTTTATTTTATGTTACCCCTCATTGGGGGTAACATAAATTCCTTCGAAGACCTTTAGCTCCCAAAAATGATCTTTTTTTTTTTTTTTAACTAATAAAAGGCTCCCTTATCCTCAGTAGTCTAAAAGTGGTTAGGAAATATGGTGCAATGTTTAAGAACTCGGCTTTGGGGTTTACTACTGAGGTTCTGGTTCTGGTTCTAACACTGTGAAACCCTGGCCAAGATAATCAACTTCTCTAAGTATCATATTTCTTTTCTATAAAAGATAGATGGTGAAAATACCTATCCCTCTAGGATGTTTATGCAAATGAAATGAAATCATAGGTAAATCACTCATTACTGTGCATAATGTAAGTGCTGAATAAACTTTTACTGTTCTTTATTTTTAAAGTTTTTACTGCTGCAGGGTTACATTCTGCATGATATTTCATAAATGTATCTACCTTCATCTTACTTCCCACTGGAGTCTGAATCTTTCCATCTTTTATCATATGACATTGCTTTTGTAGCCCTTAATGACTTTGGGCAACTTTGTCTGGACCATTTCCAGGATCAGTTGTATGCAGTTACCCCAGCTGCCCCCACATTCCAGGGCAGATGGTGGAACATTGTAACATGAGAAAGTCATGTTTTCTGATTTATTCATTGTCTGCTTTCTCATACCCGGCAATTTGAAGATGATCTTGGCCTCAGTTTTGGAATGTCAAGCCACAGTCTACAATTATTCCTGCATTCTGAAGCCAAGAGACACAACACTGGAAGCAAACAATGCTGTAATTCAGCACAATGATAGATGGAGTTATTAAAGAAATTGTGCTGACTGCTTTGAGAATTTAAGTCTCAAGTCTATCCAAATGCATCTTTCTTTCTTCTTTTCCTAACTGATATTAAGAAACTGTCTAGGCTCAGGTAGTAACAACAGAAAAATATGTCACCTACCTTTCAGGTTTAGTTACATCCCAACCTAATAAATAGTTACAATGCTTCAGGGAAAAGGTACTTACAGTCCATTCTAAGTCACCCAAGGACATGATCCAAAGCACATTTACAAAGCAAATGTTTATGAAATATATAATCTTTGCCATGCACTTTGTTAAAGACTGGGGATATGGTAGAGGATAATAGTGACTTTATTCCTACCTTCATTAAGCCTTAGTTTTTCTTTATCTTTTGTTATTTCCTAACTTTGCCCAGATATGGTTAGACATGACACATTCCTACAAATTTGTTGATTCTCTCAAGTAGTGATATAGGGTGTGCTGACATAAATATCCCAATTTCTGCTTGATAGAGAGAGAGAATTTCATAATATTTGGTTTTCTTGGGAACAACTTTCATTTCCTTGCTTTGCTTCCCACCTCCCACCCAATACACACCTCTTTCTGCTTTGTTTCCCTCCTTCAACAAAGAAACAAAAAAGTATTCACCAAATTCCACTATCCATTAATAAGATGCCACACGGCACAGTAAAGGACACTAGGTCCAGAGGGCACAGCTTCAGAAATTAGCTTTTTTGAAATCCTTGGAAACAATAAAGGGATTATATGGTAAAATAAAATGAGAAAGTATATACTAGGAATAATGTGAAATAAAATAATGTCAAGAAAGAACAACATATGTCTTAAATCACCAGTGTCTGCATGGGAAAGTACTAATCATAGAGGTAGGTGGCATCTTTGCCTGTCAGGAGGCCTTGAACGCTTCAGGGAATCTGTCATTTTTCAAGAGGTATCAATTAGTGGTTGCTCTGATGGCAGAGTGTGAACCACACCTCTCTAATGGTTAGGTTGTGTTAAAAATGATTCCTGTGAGCATAAAGCACACACAGACATGGGTTTCACAGATACCCTGGCACCAAGACAGACTCCCAAGAGAGGCAGGCATCCTGAGAAGGCAGAACCAGGGAGATTGGGAGTAGTAGAAGGTATTAGCAACTCTAAATGGGTCTTAAGATTTTTGAGCAGAAGTGTGCTGGGGGAAAGGATGAACTATGGATTCAAATGTATCTAATGATGAATTTAAATTTAAAACTATGCCAACAGATTTGGGTCCTACTGGGAATTAAAGAAGCATTGCTGTAAAGATTTACCTCTCAAGAAGTGTGATCGCAGAGATACCATATAGGCATACACACCTACACATAGCATTCCTGTTGCCAACAATGCTTCACAATATGTATATTACTGCCATTTGCATAGAAGGAAATTGAGTTTGGAGACTGTCAGGCCTCTGAGCCCAAGCTAAACCATCATATCCCCTGTGACCTACAAGTACATATCCAGATGGCCGATTCCTGCCTTAACTGATGACATTCCACCACAAAAGAAGTGAAAATGGCCAGTTCCTGCCTTAACTGATGACATTCCACCACAAACGAATTGAAAATGGCCTGTGCCTCCCTTAACTGATGACATTACCTCGTAAAATTCCTTCTCTCGGCTCATCCTGGCTCAAAAGTTCCCCCACTGAGCACTTTGTGACCCCCGCTCCTGCCCGCCAGAGAACAACCCCCTTTGACTGTAATTTTCCTTTACCTACCCAAATCCTATAAAATGGCCCCACCCCTATCTCCCTTCACTGACTCTCTTTTTGGACTCAGCCCGCCTGCACCCAGGTGAAATAAACAGTCTTGTTGCTCACACAAAGCCTGTTCAGTGGTATCTTCACACGGACACGAATGAAAGAGACATTAAGTAATCTGATTGAAATCACATAACTAGGAAGTGACAAGTCAGGATTCAAACTCAGAACTGACCCCGGAGCATATCAGCATTCACCAAACATGCTGAAAATCACCGTTGCTTCTTTCCTAGGTTTTATTTCTGATTAAACCTAGTTCTGACACTTGGAAATGCCACAACTTAAACTCCAAAGGAATAGCTCAGTCTCCTAATAGTATGACTGAAAACTGGCCCAGCTCAGTGTCTGCTGAGAATAGTAAAGACACCCAAATAAAAGAGGGTACATTTCCTCCAAAGGCCTAGAGGTGGTCACACTACATACTGGAATGAGCTACATGGATTGTAAACCCAGCACCAAGTCACCACAGGTGGTCAGCCTCAGTTGTAAAATATTGATTATATTTTCTAGCAGGTGACAATACTCCAAGTAGGGGCTATAAAACATAAAATACTTTGGACATCTAGGTGTCCAACTGTAACTAGAATCACCAGTTTTGGCTGGCTAAATATTAAAGACCTTCCCTTCTGTTTATTTCTAGTCTAGACAACAAACAAATAAACTGCTGGTGAAGAGCAAAATAAAATCTGTACTGCTGGATTTTAAAGATTATAGAAAACTTCCAGTGACTTTTAGATATCTAATCTCTTGCCAGTGTATTAGCATTATTTTCCTTCTTGATTAGCCTTTTAAATTGAATGGTAAAATCAAAGGGACTTTGGAAAAAAATGTCACTGAATGTTAAAATGAGGGTTTAGGAGATTTTCTGGCACCTGGGCTAACTGTTGTAGCCTTCTTGGCTAGTTAATGAAATATGTGTCTCTCATAAACTTTTAAACATGGGTTACATACTGCTGGTGTGCAAGTAGTAAAAGTAGATGCGCTTTTATAATTGAATGTACATAGAATAGATGTCCACCCTCACCCTTTTCTGTGTGCATTCACCTGGCACCTCTTCAAGTCTGACATTTACTAATTTAGCTGTCTAGGAATACAGGTCCCCTCTTTGCCTTAAGAAATTGGTCTTTGTTACCAGGGAAGTGGTCCTCATTCCTAGCCAAACAGTAAGAGTATGTATGATTTCCTTAAATACATCCACTCTTTGTAGGATTCACATATTCAGACACCACACTCCATAAGCTTCCATGCATGCCAGTGCACCAACACACCATGTACATACCAACAGAATTCGCAGGGCAGCATGCTATCCCACACGGCCTCAAATCTAGACAGTGGGCCCTCTGTGCTGCCTCAAAACCAGGCAATGGCTGACTCCCCTACACAAGCTCCTTACTTGCTAGTGTGAAGGAAGAATTGGACCACATGCTTAGACAGATGGGTGATTAAATTACCGGTGGCTATTTTTGCTAGCTTTCCATATATCTCTAGATGCCCAACACAATTTTTAAAAATGATCAGAATCACTGATATCAGCGAAAATAGATCAGCATCACCTTATTCCCAGAACAGCAGTCTTGTATCTCTTGTTCTTAGTGACACATGAAGTCAGATCCACAATATTACACCACTGTGAACACACAAAAAAAGGATGCTCAGCAAAAACCTGTCATTCTAGGAGACTATCAACAAGGATATTATTTTGCCTTGATATCATAAAATGCAAAGATAATACTGGCTAAAGCATTAGATCCCTGCCTAGGTTTGATTCCTGGCTCAGCCACCCCCCGAGTTGTGTCCTTGGGCATGTTATTTAACCTCTCAGTGTTTCTTCTGCATCACAGATACCATGATGATATCTATCTCAAAGAGTTCTTTGTGATAATCAATTTTAAAGCACTTAGAGCAGCATCTAGAAAGGACTTAAGTATGCAATTGTTCGCTGCCAATATTCATTGTCAAATGATTTTGGGGATTTTATTTTTGCTTTAGTAAAATCCTTCCAAAATAAAGTCAGCTGACCAGTTACAGAAAGGAGGAAAACAGGAAAAAACACAAATATAAGACATTTCATCTAGTCAGGACATACAAATCCTTGAGAGCTGGGTAGAAGTTCCATGGGTGAGTATTAGATTTAAGTAAAACCTCCTCAAGGGGCCTTGAATTAATACAATGGTGCCATGCTGGGTCTGAATTTTCTTACTTATAAAACGGGCATAACACCTTAACTGTATTTTACAAGGGTTTTAGGAGGATGAAAAAAATAGTAATATGGGCAACAATGTGTTTGCATCTTCCCTACTAGACCAAATTATTGAGAGTATGGACTCAGTTTCATGTCCATTTCTTTGAGGCACAGAGTAAGACAGAGCCATTGTACAGACATATTATCTGTATAGGAAAATGAATCAATCATTTATGTATGATACCCTCCACTGACTGATGTCTGAACAAAGCCACATAATTTCCTTGTTAACTCTGTGGTGGCAAGCAGGAAAGGCGGGCCTGTAGGGATTGACCTTTCACACTGATGTGTTCAGTAAACCCAAAGAGTCTGAGGCTCAGAGGAGTAGAATGACTGCCCAACCCCCAAGCCATCAACAAAGCACAACTGACTATCATCATTATTGGCACTCAGCAAGAAGAGTCTCTGAAACTATGATTTATTGAGCTTGTATGTGCCAGCACTGTGTTCAGCTTGTATTTTCTCATGGTATCTTTTCAGTAAACTAATGAGACAATATTGTTAGGATTCCCAGTTTGTAGATGAGGAACGGGAAGGCTCGGAGTGTTAAAGTAACTTGTGTAACATTATCGAGCATGGATTAGAAAGCAGGAGAGTATTGAGTCCAGGGTCTGGGCTTCCCATCACTGTGTTATACGTTTTCCTGCTGAGACCTGAACTCATCTTTGCCTGTGATAAAAATTGTAAACATGTTTTCCGAGTTTGTTATTTATCTCCTTACACTGCTTACGGTATTTTGTGAGTACTCTTTTCATCTCATAAGAGCAAAGAGTTAATATTCCTAACATATAAACATTTTCTGGAGATAGAAGAGAAAAACTCTAGTAAGTGTCTAGAAAAATAGGCAAGGGGACATCAACAGGAAATTTAAAGAAAAAGAAGTGCAAATAGTCTGTGAGCTCAGCCACATTAATAATAAGAGAAATGCAAATTAAGGATAGAAAAATTAGAGCATCACCAAGAATAATAACTGCAAAGGATAAAAACACTACAAATATATTTAAATCTATGAGATCATAATAATACTACGAAAAAAAAGAATACAGAAAACCTCTTATTGGTCATCTTTGGGGAACCAGATCATTATTTTGAAAGTTGTAAATAATAGAAAAACAAGCATTTATCCTGCCTTTCCTTGTAGTCTATAATCAAATACTGATAAAACTTTCCATTTGTAGAAGTTTATCACCAAAAATGAAGACAAAATAATAAAATTTTAAGATCAACATTTTGTAGCCCCCATAAAATAGTAGATGTGGGCAATAATTATCAATGGCTGCTAACATTTCAACTCTTTTTTTTTTTCTTTTTTTTTTGAGACGGAGTCTCGCTCTGTCGCCCAGGCTGGAGTGCAGTGGCTGGATCTCAGCTCACTGCGAGCTCCGCCTCCCAGGTTTATGCCATTCTCCTGCCTCAGCCTCCCGTGTAGTTGGGACTACAGGTGCCCGCCACCTCGCCCAGCTAGTTTTTTGTATTTTTTAGTAGAAATGGGGTTTCACCGTGTTAGCCAGGATGGTCTCGATCTCCAGACCTCATGATCCGCCCGTCTCGGCCTCCCAAAGTGCTGGGATTACAGGCTTGAGCCACGGCGCCCGGCCAGCTGCTAACATTTCAAAAGCGAGAAGACATCATTGCCTCCTGATGGAGGTATGTAGCTTCATAGATGAAGTTACATGTGATAAAAAACATGCAACCTAAATTACATCAAGTTGTTATCCTTAAATCTCATTTATAGGAAATCCAGGTGACTGAGAAATATGCTCTAAATAATATCATAGGGATAAAATTGGCAACATCCAGACTGTGAGACTGTCTGTAGGACAAATAATCCCATTGTCTTCCACATATAAATTACAAGAAAAACAACTAATAGTGATGCAAAAACTATGGATTAATAGAGACTTAGGAGACAAGAAAATCTATTTTAATGGATGAAACTCATTTGGATCTTGATTTCCAAACAATATGTAAGAAAAAATTATCGATAATTTGAAAAATAATTAGATGCTTGATGTTGAAGATTTATTAATGTCTTTGCATAATATTATCCTTATATTTATGGATGTCATCTTGTAGAGATGAACACTGAACTACTTAAAGAAGTGGTACTGTGGGTGGGAATTTGCTCCAATAAGGGTTAGGTAATACATACAAGACTGCCCATGAACTAGAAATCTTTGAGGTTTGCTTATGGGTAGATAGGATTTCATTACCCTATCCCCTTACTTTAATATGTTTTAAATTTCCCATAATAAAATTATAAAAAATAACTATTTGCCATATATAGGTGCATATAGCTTCTGCATGACAAAGAAAGTTTACCAAAATGATCCTAATAGTCCTCCTGTCGGGGTGGTAAGATTATGTATCATTTGACCTTTTAAATTTTCCAATTTTTCTTAATAAGCATTTGATGCATTTACAAACAGAAATGAAAAAGTTAATATAAAACAGTTTATTTCCATATGAGATTTTAAACATCAATAATATTTTATTGTTTAAACAATTAAGAAGCAAATTTTGCAAAATCTTAAGATTTGCTAAAGCTGGGTGATTAGCACACTGTATTCACCATATAATTTTACTTAATTTAAAAATTGTAATATTTTATAATACAATATTATAAAAGTTGAAAATTAAATATCTGGACTATTATCTGCTATCCCTGTCTGTTAGGTTATATTGAATATCTTTTCTCCAAAATAATGTCTAAAAGATAAGTGTGTCACACAATGCAAACAATATGTGTAAGAGATTCTAGGAATCTGTCCTATGGCAAAATGTAAAAACATTAATCTATATATCTTTAAACATTTTGATTTTTAAAGGAACGAAAATATGGCTTGTAATTTACTGAAGGAATTTTACTTTCATATTGCTCGATGATTAGGAAAAAGTCTTAATCATTCAGTTAAAAATATTTCAAAAAACAACTGGATGGGGCCCTAGGGACTAGGCAATTGAATCCTATTATTTCATAGATGGGAGGAGAAAGGCTTATCCAAAGTCACATAAATGACTTGGGTCAGATGGATGACAAAAACCCAGGCCTCCAACACCTATTTCCCATCTTTCATGATCATGTTGCACAATGTGGCATTTTATAAAATGCTTCTATGATCCCAGTAAAACTACAAAACTACATAGATTATCAGAAAAGGGATATGACAAATACGTGGATAAAGAGTTGTGGCTTGTGTGAGGGTACCCGTGATGGAGAAAAGGGGGCTATGTCTTTATATGTAGATTACTTATTATAGCAGTCTTAGGTTCACAGCAAAATCGAATTGAACTTCAGAGAGCTCGCATATATATCCCTTGTGCTCTACCCATCCCTTCAAATGCACAGTATAATCCACCAACTGGCATGGTACATTTCTTAAACTTGATGAACCATTACACTGACACAAAATTATCCCTCAAAATCCATAATTTACATTAGGGTTCATGCTTGGTGTTGTGCATTCTATGGGTTTTGACAAATGTATTATGATATGCATCCTGCACTACAGTATTATACAGAGTAGTTTCTCTGCCCTAAAAGTTCCCTGGCTCCATCTATTTATCCCTCCCTCCCCACAAATCCCTAGCAACTACCGTCTCCATAGTTTTTTCCTTTTCTAGAAAGTCATATTGTTGGAATCATATAGCATATAGAATTTACAGATGGGCTTTCTTCACATAGTAATATACATTTAAGGTTCCTCCATGTACTTTTATGGCTTGATAAAAATTTCTTCTTAGCACAGAATAGTATTCCATTGTATAGATGTACCACAATTTATTTATCCATTCATCAAAAGAAGGACACGTTGGCTCTTTCCAGCTTTTGGTAATTATGAATAAGACTGCTATAAACATCCATGTGCAAGTTTTTGTGTGGACGTAAGTTTTTCACTCATTTGTGTAAACACCAAGAATATGACTGCTGTATCCTATGGTAAAAGTAGGTTTAGCTTTGTAAGAAACTGCCAAACAGTCTTCTACAGCAGCTGTAAAGAGAGGCTCAATTTTAAAAATGATCAGCTAAGTGAAAATCACACACAAATGGTATTAATCCTGAAATGTCTTAGGCAGGCAGCATGCCCAGGCTGACATTCTGTACCTCAAAAGCCACTCAACTGTAAGATCTCTGAGGTCAGGGAATTTTTTAGGGTTTGCTGTATTTCCAGTCCTTAAAACAGTACTGGAGCACAGTAAGTTCTCATTCAATGTGCGTTAGATAAATAAATAAATGCAAAGGAAAAAAAATCTTCCCTCCAGTTTTGTAGCAGAGAGTTCTTAGGTCAAAAACAAGTGAAATGAAGACTTTTTCTTAGGGACCAGAGTGTTTGAAAACTAAGTATTTTTAAACAATAGAATCTCACTCAGGCAAAGTCCTCCCCTATAAAAGGTGTGAAGGCCTGGGACACAGAAAGAAAAGCAGAATCTCTTCTCTTACTCTGAGGCCTGGGCTCACCGCATGGAACAGGGGACAGGATCTTCTACACGATTTAAACAGTTTTCTTTTTATTTGCCATGCACGTAAAGTTGAATTTACATAAATTAAATGCACATAAGCTGAGATTCTACTATAATTGCAAAACCATTGCATTGGAAATAAGCTTTCATTGAAATCACATTAGAAACCAGAAAGACTAAATTAGATTTCGAAGCATATTTAGCCCTATCAAGAGGTAGATTATAGAAAGTTTATAAAACAACACAGACACACACAGCAGGCCAGAGTGCCTGGCCAGGAAATGAACAGCCTCATCACCTCCATATGGAGGGGAAAGCTGTTATCTCATATCAAGACCTGGATGATCAATCACCCAAACCGTAGAACTCTTACTCTACAAACTTAAATGGCCATGCAAACAAACAAATCACCGATTCACCTGGCCTCAGTTTCCTAAACTGTAGAAGGGGCATAATATTACCTCTATATATGATTGCTTAATGGAGAGAGATTACATATGATGGGTCTAGCTTCCTGGTTCTCAATTCTCAAACAAAAACAAACCATAACAATCCCTTAAAATCTAGGTGTGAAGTAATGAGAATTCATTTCAACCTTGTTACCACCACAGGTTTGCTAATCCTAAGCCTTCCCAAAACTTTATGCTTCCCATCCTCAGCACACACTAATTTACTATTTAATATGTCTTAAGAATCCACAGAGCCCTATGAATTACATAAATGTGACTTAGGTGACTGGCTATTATTTTTCCCTCACCCTTCTCATCAGGCAAATGTGAAGCTAAATTAGTCACTTATCATAAAGTTCTCTGAAAACATTAAAGTCTAAAGAAATGCTTGATAATTGTTCTTAGCCATCTGGTGCCAAGTGATGCTCATGAACTTACATGAGCCATTTGGTAAAAATCCAAAAACGTCTATCTTAATTTTACATCTCACTTACTGAAAGTTCCAAGTTGAGAAATTTCTAAGAGGAGAAAATGGTTTATAAAAAGGAAAACAAATGGGTAAATCTTTGAACTCGTTCACATAAGAAGGCTTACAAAAATCCACCTTTTGTAATCCTAGCACTTTGGGAGGCTGAGGTGGGCGGATCACTTGAGGTCAGGAGTTCAAGACCAGCCTGGCTAACATGGTGATACCCTGTCTCTACTAAAAATACAAAAACTAGCCCGGCATGGCAGCGCAAGCCTGTAGTCCCAGCTACTCGGGAGGCTGAGGCAGGAGAATTACTTAAACCTAGGAGGCAGAAGTTGCAGTGAGCCGAGATCATGCCACTGCACTCCAGCCTGGGTGACAGAGCAAGACTCTGTCTCAAGAAAAAAAAAAATCCACCTCTATCACTGGTTTTAACAAGTGAAACTAAGGTAACATCACACTGTTAACCTCTCCAATACATGTGCACACACATGGTAAAGGATTAATTGTGTCTGCTTTTCTTTCTCAGTTCTTTCACATGACTAGCCACATATCAGTGCCTCTCATATGGAGAAGATTACTGAATCTCCTGTGGTCTCTCTTCTTTCCTAGACTGAGCCACTAAAAAGCAGACATCTCCTTGTCTGCATTATTATAATAGCCTTCAACTAGTCTCTACTCAAGGCATCTCTGGCTGATCCCAGTCCATTGTCTACCTTATACATGAAAGGATCTTAAAAATAAATGATTTCCACTTCTCTGTCCAAACTTTCCAAAGGCTTCCCACTGCCCTTAGAATGAAATCCCGAATTCTCAACATTGCTTAGGAAGTCATCTGAGACCTGGCCCCTGGCTACATCACCAGTGGCATCTTGTACCATACCCTCTCACCTACTCAGTGTACACCAGCCACACTGGGCATCATTTCTTTCACTGTGAAGTGTCACACTCTGTCTTGTCTCAGTGCCTTGAGAATACTGGAAATATAAGATACCACTTTGACCCACAAGCTCTCCAAAAGAAATATGAAAACAGGTTTGAGGGTAATTTGCGAATGTCTCTGAGCACCTCCTCTCTTCTTTTTTCTTACTCATAAGGAGGTTGTGTCCATCTGCCCATGGATGTCTTAGAGCTTGTTTAATTTCCTTCTTTAATGTAATAGTG